ATAAATCCATCTAAATGAATAAACATGTAAACTGTCGAACTGTTTTCATATTTTCAGCCCCATCTGGGCATCTACGTGCCATTATCCGTCCATAGATTATATAAACAATAGGTTACTTAAAAATTTGGAAATACCCTTGTGAAGAATATTCTTCAAAAAAAAAAACCTTGTGAAGAATAATGCAGAGTTTATACCAATTGAGGGACCATGGTAACATAAATTAATGCAAAAAGGAATTATAATAGATGTACCTCCTGAGGACCATCACTGCCATATATGGGTCGGACTGAAGTGATCAGTGAGAAGGATCGGATGAACGCTCAAGAAATGGTAAGATGATGCTGATTGAAGGCTAGATTGAAGTGAGGAGGTTGGGGGAGTCGGAAAAGTGGAAGGGGTGGACGGCCCTCATGATAATATCCTTGGGTGAGAGAATGAGGTGAGATAGAGCCGCTAGGAGATGAGCGATCGAAAGGGAAATCCGGGCAGGATGATGGATGAGCAAAAGATATCCAGATGCATCCAAAGTCATTGAAGAGCGTCTGAGAGTTGAAATGCCCTAATAGGCGATGGAGTTAGACAGGGAGTAGTCGATTAGGCAAAGTTTAGTGAACTTACGCAAATGCCCTTGTGGTTAGGCGGGAGACTCACTTAGTTCGGTTAATATATATATATAGATTCCCTTTTCCGGTCATGGTGCAGACGGTACTCGTACTTAAACTCTACACTGCTACATTTATTTTAGGTGCGGGAAAACTCACATCAAATTTCTCTATTCACTCTGTCTCAAAAAGGTTGGTCAAATTGATTTTCCGTGATCAGTGATATCCGACTTTGAGCAATGCTATTTTTTTACATGAAAATGTTTTGAATATAAAAATTAAGTAAAAATGTTCATTATTAAAAATATTTTCTTAAAAGCATATAATTTATACACGTATATTATAATTAAAATATTGTCCAAAGTTGATCATTATTGACCAAAAATCAATATGACGAACTTTTTCATTACATGGGTGGTTGTATTATAACTATAATCAATTTGAATTGAGAAGATATTATTATAAAAAAAATACAAAGACAAATACAAAAATATCTCAAAAGACATGTTCAACTATTTTGTAAGACTCAAGCCTCGAGCTGCTCCAAGTGGTCTAATATTAGAAGTATTTAGTTCTAATTTTAGACTAATTGGAGCAGCTCGTGGTCTGAGTACCCAAAGCAGTGAAACATATCTCTTTGGCAATAGATAGAGAAGATCATTCAATAACTATTCCAATAGCTACTACAATCAAATGATTTGGAAGTGCTCTTATCAACGCTTTGAAAACCAATTAAAATTTTCGGTGTGGTATTGAAAAAGACAGAAATAAGTTCACACAAAAAAACAGGACCTTGTATTGAGGAGAAGACCTGATCGATGAACTGGCCATGGCTCTTTATGATTGCTCAGCTCTTTATATACTTTCCTATGAAGTTGTGCTACCATTAATTGATAAGAAGGTGTAGATCTGATGAAATTGTCCAACTTCATTACAACTTGAGAGTATGAGCATTAATTTGATTGCTTTAGCCTTTCCAAATAAGCACGTTATCTGATCGTATAGCTTGGTCATGTGCATACATATAACCTACTGATGGAATGATTGGAACATCATATACTAGTATATTCTAGAACGCAGGGGTGTGGAGGGAGAAAAGAAATTTGGGGGCGATCGATGACTTTGTTTACTCTGCTGCTTATTAATTTCGTCCTTACAGTTTCTTAACTCTTTCTTTTTGCAAGCTTTCGCCTTTGGATGTCTTGTTTAAGGATGGCAATGGGGGCGTGGACCCGTGGGGAACCTCCCCATGGGGGAAGGATGAGGCGGGGCTTGGGGTGGGGCGGGGGGTGGGGATGGGTGAGATATTTCTACCACGCTAAAATATGGGGCGGGGGATGGGGATTACTACACCCGCCCCGTACCCGTTATAATTAAATGTATACTCAAACATACATATACATACATACACATATTAATACTATATAAACATATTTAATTAAATTATATGTACTATATGACAAACACATACACATACTTATAGACATGCATACAAGTATGTGTATTAGTCATGATTAATGAACTAATACTACGCAAGTATTATATTAGAATAATAAGTAATGACTAAAAATACTTATCATAAATGATACTCCGTATATGAGTTTTAAAAGTGAGAAACTAAGTAAATAGAACACGCACACTACACAAACATATGTATAATATATATAATTAATTGTAATATAATTGATGAGAAATTTGGAACATCATACATGATTGTAATATGTTTACTTATACTTTTAGTTTTATTATTTTCATAGAACTTATTCAAATTGAAGAATTATTATAAATCGGCGGTATCATTTTTTATCGAACATAATATTATCTAGTTTAACTCTTTCAGTGCTATATAGCTCAGGTCCCTCCGGAGGGACGGGAGGGACCGTCCGAACTTTACTGTTTGGGGCGGTTCCCGGTGAAATTTTTTGATGAAATTTTTTGAGCATGTTCCTCATCAAGTCTAGTTTGTCCATACTAAATTTCAGCTAAAATTCGACCGGGAAGGCAGTCAAATAAATTCTTGAAACTTACTGCACTTTATATATGCGCAGAATGTGCAGTAAGCTTCAAGAATTTATTTGACTGCCTTCCCGGTCGAATTTTGAGCTGAAATTTGGTATGGACAAACTAGACTTGATGAGGAACATGCTAAAAAAATTTCATCAAAAAATTCCACCGGGAACCGCCCCAAACAGTAAAGTTCGGACGGTCCCTCCCGTCCCTCCGGAGGGACCTGATCTTTTCTGGTGCTATATATATATTTATTTATTTATAAAATGGATTTAAAAAAATACACAAATAAGATAATTAAAATATATATGGGGGCACTCGTGGGGGACAGCGGGGTGGGGCAGGGATGGGGCGGGTCTGGGAGTGACGGGGAATGGGGCGGGGATGTGGGGAACTTTTTAGACATGGGGCGGTGGATGGGGGAGTGAACCCCCGCCCCAAACCCGCCCTTTTGCCATCCCTAGTCTTGTTTGCTACATCAATAAAACAAAAATGCTTGAGGTACACACTTTGTGTACACACTTTGTGTACACTCGTCTGTCTCTTAAGAAAATTTTGTCTGTCACAGACAATTCATATATGAGTATAAGGTGCTGTTCTGTTCGTCTTATTCTTATTACTTATTGCTTATTCTTATTTTATTCAGATCAGATCAGATCAGATCAGAAAAATTCAGATCAGATCAGATCAGATCAGAAAAATTCAGATCAGATCAGATCAGATCAGAAAGATTCAGATCAGATCAGATCAGATCAGAAAGATTCAGATCAGATCAGAAAGATTCAGATCAGATCAGACCAGATCAGAAGCATTCAGATCAGATCAGAAACATTCAGATCAGATCAGATCAGAAAAGTTCAAACAAGATTTATCACTTTTATTATTATATTAAATATTAATTATTATTATTATTATGATTATTGTTATTACTATTATGATTATTATTATATATTTATTATTAATAATATTAATAATAATATGATAAAAAAAGATATTAATAATAGTTATAATTTTTTAATATAATAATAGTAATATAAATGCAATTGTTAAGAAGACTATTATTATTACAACATTATAATAATAATAATATGATTAATATTATTATAATATTATATTATAATTATATGTAATTATAATTATAATTACAATTATAATTCTTATAATTATAAGTATAATCAATTGTAATTATTATAATTATATCTATAATTAATTATATTTATAATTGTAATTAATTATAATTATAATTACAATCATAATTATACTTATGATTATAATTATAATTATAATATAATATTATAATAATATAATACTAATTATAATAATAATCATATTATTATTATTATATTGTAATAATAATATTAATATAATAATATCGTTATAATAATATTAATTGTATTTATATTACTATTATTATATTATAATATTATAATTAATGTTAATATAATTATAATTATTATTAATTATAATTATAATAATTATAATTATACTTATAATTATATTATAATTATAATTTATGTTTATAATTATTATTTTTATTATAATTATTATTATTATTATTATTATTATTACTATTGTAATTATTTTACGGAGTTATTATAATAATATTGATAACTATAGTTACAATTATAGAGATAAATATTGTAATTATAATTACAATTATAATTATAATTTTATTTAAATTATATTTGTAATTGCAATTATAATAATAATAATTAAAATTAAAATTATAATTATAATTATAATCATAGAAATATTCGAATCAGATCAGATCAGAAAGATTCAGATCAGATCAGAAGGATTCAGATCAGATCAGAAACATTCAGATCAGATCAGACCAGATCAGAAACATTCAGATCAGATCAGAAAGATTCAGATCAGATCAGATCAGATCAGAAAGATTCAGATCAGATCAGATCAGATCAGAAAGATTCAGATCAGATCAGATCAGATCAGAAAAATTCAGATCAGATCAGATCAGAACTTAAAAAATTCAGATCAGAAACATTCAGATCAGGCGAAGAGAACAGCTTCTAAATGAGTATAAATTGAGCATATGTTACTTACAAATGAGCATTGATAAGTTTTTTAAATTGAGCATCAAGACATTTTCATTGAGCATCAAATCTCTTCTATTGAATATTAGAAACATTTAATAGAGTATCAAGGTATGTGCTCGATCTAGTTTTTTAAATTGAGCATCAAGACATTTTCATTGAGCATCAAATAGTTTTTTTATATGAGTTGTCTGTGACAGACAAAATTTTCTTAAGAGACAGACGAGTGTACACAAAGTGTGTACACAAAGTGTGTACCTCAAGCATTTCTCTCAATAAAATCCACAATTAAAAAAGCAAGATTTTTTTTTTTAAATTTTAGCTTATTTCATCGGGGCTTCATATCCAACTTATCCAACTTAATAACAAAACAAAAACGCGGCCTTCCCTCAGCGTAGGGTTTGAGCTCTCTGCCGATTTTGTGCGGTACGGAGTACGGACGAATGGCGAGCGAAGGAAAACGAAGCGGAAACAGAGAGCAAGCTTTGCGGATGAATACCCCGGGGCCGGCATCGCAGAGGAAAGAGCAGGAGTGGGATGGCGTCTCCTCATAGCCGATTGGAGTGCACCATGGCGAGAACGACGAGTCTTCCGCGGCTGTGGGGGTAGGGATTCTATAGAAACTGACTATGCAGTACGATGGGATGGTGTTGGACGAGCTATTGCTGGACGACAAGGATGAGGCGGAGCTCGATCCAGAAGCGGCGGAAAAAGTGGTGGACACATTTCCCGTGGTTGGTACGATCCTAATGGATAAAGTGGTCAAATTCCAAATCTTCTCTGTGGCGTCCGGGCAAAGGTGTATTGATTCAAGAGGTCGGGAAGAAGAGGTGTCTGTTTACATTTTATCACATACTCCCTCCGGTTTTTAATAAACTCCATACTTTCCTTTTTGGAATGGTCTAAAATAAACTTCACATTTCCTTATTTCCTTTTTTGGCAAAGAAATCTACATCAAAACAGTGCCAAACAGTGTCAAACAGTGTCTCAACAGTGCCAAACAGTGTCAAACAGTGCCTTAACAGTGTACTCTACAGTAAAATCAAATTTCTTTCCTTATTTGGTGTGAAGTCAAACTGTGAAGATTAAAAAACCGGAGGTAATAATAGATATGAATTGTGTGTTGGATAATGGACCTTGGTTATTTGATCAGAATCTGTTAGTGTTAAAAGTCATTAAGCTGGGAGGTATGCCTTTGAAGGTACCTCTCGATACAGCTTATTTTTGTGTACAGGTTCACAATATCCCCTATGGTTATTCAAATTTGGGTTATGCTCGTAAAATTGGGAATCACTTAGGAAAAATTATTTCTTGGGATGATAATCATTTTGTTGAGAACCGGGAAGCCTACATGAGGGTTAGGGTGATGTTGGATGTGAGAAAACCCTTAAAAGTGGGGACAACCCTAAAAAAGAACAAGGGAGAGGTTATTGGATAGATTTCAAGTACGAGAAGATGCCTAGCTTTTGTTTTGCCTGCGGCGTAATAGGACATGCTGAAAATTTTTGTCCCCTACTGTATGAAAACAGGGATAAGGCGGTTGTGAAATCTTTTGGGCCATGGCTGCGGGCGGGTGGAGAGAGATCTCGTCCTTCTATGGGTAGTAAATGGTTGGTGAGTGAAGGAGGGGTAGGAAGAGACCAAGCAGGGATGCAAAGGAACCTTAAAGAAATGCAAGATCAGGACCAGAGTCACATTAAGGGTATGTTCCGGGAAGGAGGGGAGGAGGCAAAGCTTGAGGAGGCTAGGATAAACAGCAGCGGAATGGGAGAATAGAAGCAGAGGCGGACCTAGGATATACAGGAGGAGCATGAGCAATCAGGGGAGGACGTCATGGCTCTGGATGGATCAAATAATAGGGAAGAGGCGGGCTGGAGCACTCAGGCCCGCCTAAACCTGTGAAGATCGTGTGCTTCTGGCAGATTGGAGTTATTTTTTACTTTAGACTTGTTTTTCTTTATGTTGGTTTTTATTTTGGACATCGTGTCATCGTGTGTACTTGTTTGCTATTGTTTTTATTTTTGTCCAGACTCTAGAATATAAGACAGGTGGTGGGGAGCCTAGTTTTCCAGTCATGGGCTCACGTAAGCACAATTTAAGATCAACGAATCTGGATGCTTCTTTTGAGGTGGCAGGTTCTAAGTCTGGTTTAAGGATGGAAGGTAGACAATGGGCTCTTTGTCTGGTTGTAACCTGCTTATGTTCATTCTTATTAATATATATACTACGGTATATAAGTCATGGTGAAAAACCGTTAGGGGTGGGAAAAAAATAACCATAACAGTCTAATCATGGAGAAAAACCGAAAAAACGTTACTTTTCTGGTTAACCATACCAATTTCTTAAAAAATTCATGGTCCGGTTAACCAATAAAATCACAAAGTGGTTCACGGTAAATTTACCATTTTAGAATCAATTACGATTGGTTTACCGAAATCCCCAAGAGCTGCAATCTGTCATCGGATTTAACTCACATTAAATGTTTGGATCCATCGGTATTATTATACGGTACTTTTTTTGCAAGGATTATAGAGTATTTCCCAAAATAATGTCAAATAAAAATATATTTACCAAAATAAGGTCAGGTTAAATGTATTTCTCAAAATAATGCTCTCTAAACTCTAGTTAAGAGAATAGGAGTGGCGGCTTATACTAAAGAGACAATTCCCCAAATAGGAGTAAAACATAGGCAAAATGCAAAAATAGGAGTACCATGTTTTGAATAGAAGTAACTTTAGTGTTTGGACAAGTATACCCCTACCCAACCCCCAAACCCCAACAACTTTCATTAATAATTAAAACATAAAAGAAATAAGATTAATTAATTTATAATAAAATTGTAAAAAAACAAAAAAAACACAAAAAATATATCAAATAAAATATACTCTGTATTAAATAAAATAAAAAAATTTAAATTAAAAAACTAAAAAACTAAAAACATTAAAATAAAAAATGAAAAAATAAGTAAAAAAAAAAAATGTAGGCGTCTGCCGCCGCCTCAACAACCTCCCAGCACCACCTGCTCCGACCACACAAAAAATGCCAACATTTTACCGAAATGCCATCATGATGCCAGATTTTGAGAAAATTAGGCATTTTCAAAGAGTAAAACTGTCATATTTATGGCATTTTCAAAGAAAATGGCATTTTTTTATACATAAAATGGCATTTTTCTCGCCGATCGAAGGTGACATTGTTGGGTGATGACCGAGGCTGCGGGAAAGGTCTGCATAATTTTTTTATATTTTTAATGCAATTTATCTATGTTTTATTTATTTTTGAAGTTTTTTTATTTTTTTAAAAATAATTTTTTAAATTTTTAATATTTTAATATTGTTGGGATGAACTTAGATTATTTTTAAAATTAAAAGGCCTGCATAAATGTATCAAATAAGTCATAGAATTGACTAGGTTAGAGATATTAAGGGTACAAAATTAATGTTTACTCCTATTGAAGGAAGTTTTACGTTTTACCTCTATTTGTGCAATTATGTTTATGTTTACTCCTATATTGGGCAATTTCTGTGCAACAATGCTTCATGTACCCACCCTTATACCCACCTTATACCCGCCATGTTTGTGAATGTTTTTTTTGTCTGTAAATACGGTTCACAGACAATTAAAAAAAGTTTCACAAACATGGGTGAGTACAAAGGTGGGTATAAGAGTGGGTAAAAAGATCATTTTTTATTCTCTATACAAAAACTAACGCACACCCTTACAAGCAGGCATAGGGGAGAATTTGAGATAGGCCCCACCAAAAAAATCCAATTTTTATTTAATAGTGATATAACTTCTTTTTTTGGTGGGGTCTATCTCAAGTTTTCCCCGCTGCTTGCTTGGTTGCTTGTTCGTTGGTTGTTTTGTATAAGCCGCCACTTGAACTGGCGGTTTTCTTAACCAAAGTTTAGGGAGCAGTATTTTGAAAAATACCTTAACCTGACCTTATTTTGGTAAATATATATTTAGGGAAAGTCACACTTTTAGTCCCTGAAATAGTCACCATTTCTGAGATAGTAAATGTCACCCCTCAATTGTCCAAATTGTTGTAAATGTGGTCCTTTGAGGGGTGAAATGTACTCCTCGCCCACATTGTACATTTCACCCTTCAAAGGATCACATTTACAGCAATTTGGACAATTAAGGGGTGACATTTACAAACTGGGAACAAGGGTCTGACATTTCAATATGATGACTATTTCTGAGACTAAAAGTGTGATTTTCCCTATATTTTTATTTAGCATTATTTTGGGGAAAACTCAGGAGTCTACCGTTCCGTACCAGGGGCGGATGCACCATAATATTTGTTGAGGTTTATTCATTCAACCCTCGGGTCCAACACGTAAGCCCAAGGATTTCGAGTGGATATTGTGTATGGATATGAGATGCAATCAAGTAAGATGGACTAAGAAAAGTATGCAATAGTGGATCGAGTATTATTAGAACCTAATAACTCCCCGATACAATCCACTATCTAAGGCCTGCGGCCGTTCGTCTCACACCTCCAGTAGAAGAGCTGCGAGTATTAAGCTATGAGCTGAAACTAAGCTAGAGTGCTAAGGCAGATAAATTGTCAACTTTTTACAATGAAATAAATGCTAATATTTATATCACCAATGGGCAGTTGGCTATGGTGACGTGGAGAGCTGCAAATGGTTGATGCCTCAACTACCAAATCTCCAGTATTAAATGCGCCTCCCGCCAGAATTTCGGTTTCTCGCCTAACTTGTCGAGACGAGCGTCCCCCCAGGGTTGGGGCCTGCTCCTGGTAATGCTTCAAAGGGCTGTGAGCCGTGTGTCGCCTGACCCTTGTGTAAAATGTGTTGCTCAATTCCTGGACTGAATCTTCCCTGAGCCATGGGCTATGGATGGTGACGTGCGTCTTCCTAGCCTTGGGCCTTGAGAAACGATTACTCATGTTCTGTATAGACGTTCGTCCTCGCAGACTGACCTCATAGGGTCTGGACGTTCATCTAAGAAAAGGCTTAATGGGCCGATCCTCTAATTGGGCCATTAACCCAACACAAGTCCCCCACTTTTGATGTTCCAAGCGTGCGTGGGACATAAGGAAGTGAAAGGATGTCTTCGCCGTATCGCAATATGAAGACATTCCTGATTTGTGTGGAGCCCGGATGCAGAGGTTGCCCCCGCCGAGGTGGGGCGGGGATGTTCTTGACGCGACTGTTAGCCTTTGATGGTGGTTCGCAGGAACCTAGGTGACGGCTGCCGCAGAAACAGTACAATTTTCGAGCAAGTCATCATTAGGCGTCCGTTCCCCTCCACGCGACACGTGTCCTGGGGTACGCTCCTTGCCATGTGCCGCTCTCCCATTGGCCCCCCAATCGGTGCTTCCCTCTATAAATACCGGCTCCCTCGATGGGCCTAGGGTTCCCGATTTTCTGCTCTTTGCTCTCGAACACTCGCCATTCTGCAAGCCTCTGCTGTTGGGTTTTCCGGTTCATCTATCAAATGTTAAGGTAATTTCGATTCTTCTCCTTCTGTTCTTATTTATGGTCCCTCTCTACTCCTCCGATGGCGTGTTCGATGGAGATTTTCTCGAGTTCCAGTTCCAGCTCCTCCTCAGGCTCTGGTTCTAGTTCTCGCTCCTCCGGGGAGATCAACACCTCTGGTAGTTCCGGTTCTTCATCCCTGGTGGAGACGATTGCGGTCGATGGTACCCAAGGTGATGTTATTGCTCCAAAGGATGGCGTGATAAGTGCCACTTCCACCAGTGCTGCGCAATATGACGCCACCCTGGAGGATGATGAGGGGGACGTCCCTCGGGGAAATGTGGCCCAAGATGCAGATGTGGATGCTTCTACGATGAACGTCGTTCCCGTCGTGGCAGAAGATGCTCGTACTGAGGAATACGACTCAGGGACTGAGGCTGGAAATGTATCTGATTTGGAAGTTTTTGATCTGGGCCTCCCAGTGGACGTGGACCATCACATTGTCCTTATCAAGAACGTAGTTGGGCATGCGCAGTCCTTCTCAGACCAGGCTCTTAAGGATCTGAAGATATTCCTTCCCCCGCCGTTCGTCTACAGTCTGTGTGGTGCTGCTAACATGTTGATGCGGCAACCTGGGATGATCGTGGTACACCTGGACTCCATTAAAGCTGAGTTGCGGTTCCCCCTTCATCCATTCTATGTGGACTTTTTTTGTTGTTTCTCAGTGGTCCCTGCACAATTCATGCCCAATTCCTATCGTTTTATCTCAGCATTCATCGGTCGGTGCAAGGCTAGGGGGTGGAGTCGAGCCTGGATCTCTTTCACTACTTCTACCGGCTCACCACCCAGAACTCTGATGGCTTCCTGAGTATCGCAGCACGTCCCGGAAGAAGATTGTTTGACGGGGCTCCGACCTCTATACACGATTGGAAGAACCATTTCTTCTTCCTCCGTTATTTCGATGCCCGGCTTCCCACCCGGTGGAACGGGTATCCTCCCAAGATTGGCCCGCCAAGGATGACTGGTGATCTGGAGGAAGCTGCCAAGAAAGTGGTGACGGGCGACATTGAGCCCTTAGAGGACGTTTTTACCTTTGAGGCACTTGCTGAGGCAGGGATAGGTACCGCCCGTGTCCCTGGACTCTTTGTCATTTCTTGCTCGTCTTGAGGTCCTTGGCGGTCCTATCTCTGAGGTAAGTGCCCATGATTTATGTCGCCCGGTTCTGACCTATTATGTTTTGTTTCAGGTCCTGACCCACCGAGGAACAGATGAATAACGAGAAGCTTCTCAAGAAGAGAAAGGCCAATAAGGATGCTGCCGAAGCCGCGTTGGCGAAGGCGAAAGTCGCTCAGGCTTCTGAGGCCAATTCCTCGGCTTCTCAACCTGATAGATGCACTGCTGAGGCAGAGCAGGAACTCATCGCGAACGTGATGGCATGGGCCAGGGTTTCGAGGCCCTGAATATTGATACTGTCGCTGCCCTGAACGCGGCACCTCTGAACGCAGTCCCCCACAGAGACGGGGAAAAGGCCAAGGAGAAGAGGATGAAGAGGCCTCGGGGTGATGCCTCTGCTTCGGGGGCCGAGGACGTCGTGGCGCCCTCCCTTAGTCGTCCGGCAGCTGATTTATGGAGGGAGTTTGCCCTCCGATCCGAGTTGTTCTCACCATCCGGGTCCTCCTTTGAGGCTGTTAATGCTATCTTGACGGCCAGTATTCAAGAGTGTTTTGCTTGTTATTTTCCAAGTGCGTTTTCGTCTTAAGTACAGGGGGACGTTCGTATTCTTACATGCTTTTTTGCCTTGCAAGACGTCCTTAGCGCGCTTCGTCTCGAGGCTGTTGTGGATGATGCCCTGAAGGCCAAAGGCACTGCGGATGCCGCTTTGAAGAAAGTGCAGGAGGGCGCTCGTCTCCAGGCGAAGGCGGCGGCGGATAAAGAGAAACAGCTGCAGGCCGCCCTTGATGTGTCCCTCAACAAAGTTGCCGTCTTCAAGAAGCACGGCTTTAAACTGGTTCACGTTCCCTCTAGTCTTGAGGATGGTTCCGCTGCTGATGCCGCTCCTTCCTTTCAACAGGAGGCCTCTGCCTCCCAGCCGCGGGTCGATATGACAGGGTACGAGGCTAGTGACGACTTTATGATTGCGCCCAACGGTACTGCCGAAGGGCTTTCTGCGACGTCTTTGGGGCCGAGCTGGAGGCCCAAGAGCCTAAGGACTGCCTGAACTTCAGGATCCACCTCCTTGAGCGGAATCCGCTCGGCAACCAGTTCCTATCGGATGTAGCCGACGATTCCTTCGACAAGGGCTACGTTGAGGGGGTGAAGGCCACGCTGTCGGCCTTCACCAAGCTCGGTGTGCCAGCCTCCAAGCTTGTGGACTATATGGATGACGAGGATCTGAAGAAGATTGTTGGGAAAATCGCGCGGGACCAACGGCGTGCTGAAGCCGTGGCCAGGGGTGAGGTCTCGGAGTTGCCCACCCCCAAGCCGGAGCCTGTTGAGGAGGAGGCCGGTCAGGGTGACGCTAGGCCCAAGTCCCCTAACTTTTGTTGATGTACCCCCCCCCCCCCTTGTTTTTTATGCTTGAACTTTCATTGTACATTCCAGCCAGCAGTGCTGAAGAATGAAGAAACCTTTTTGCCCAATGCTTGCTCGTCTTTTACTCTTTCG